AAAAAAACAGGGAATGAATGAAGGAGATTCTCTCTCTGCTAATAACATATTTAAACTGCTAATGAGAATTGTGCAGTACATTTTAAAGTAATTTAATTTTCATAAGACAGAGGAGATGATGCCAAAAATACCAAGAACTTTAGTGAAATTTTAAAATGTAACTCAAGTGTTTGCCAGAAATACACATCTAGTCTGTTTTTACCTGGATTATTAACCCCCCTTGCCTTAATGGAGACATATCTTTTGAAATATTTTTCTCATTGAATATTTATGAACAGGTACTAGAGAAATGACTGTTTTCTCTTCCGTGAGGTATAACTGTAAGTGGTTCAGGGTCCATTTGAGGAGAAATATACTCAGTTATGAGGGCACCAAAGAAACACATTTAACAAAAGCATTTGTTATTCTGCCTAATGGTGTAAAACACGTCACCCAATATTTTAAAACACAGGTCCAATATAAATGCTAAATGGGTATTGCGGAGATCTTGTGCTGCTTTAATGCAAGTTGGGTTGTTAGAATAGTGTCTGTAAATTAGTACTGATATTTCCAGTATTATGTACTGAGAAAAGCACATCTGTAAAAACCGGTGTGTCCCGGTATAAGATCTTGGCAGGATTTGGGCTGTCTTTAATCTCCTTTGACTTGTTCATCTTCCTTTAAGGCCATCCATAAAGATGCACTGAGTATCCTTTTCAGCCTTTGGTTAGGATTTGCATCAGTAGTCATAAACCTGCTCTCCGGACAAAGACGCCCTTTCCTTTGAAGTAATTGCTCAAGCTTTTCAAAGCAGTCCAAGAAGTCTATCCTCTTTCTCTTTTTATTTTTCTTTAAGAAGAGTTTGAAGTGTAGCCCCTTAAACTAGCAGCAAGATAAATTTTTCTCTCAGCTTTATGGAAAGCCATGACGATTTTTCAAGCAGTAAGACTTTAAAAGGTTCTTAAAGGAATCTGTTCTGCTTTATGATCTAGCTTTTGGTAGATCCTCCTATCTCGGAAAGCAAAAGTAAAGATTTTTTGTAGCCATTAACTACTGCAAATTTTTATCAAAGAATTAACCTGATATTTTTCAGAAAACTTTTTTTTCTACTCTTTATTTGGTTTAGAGACTTCAGTGAAAGATGGTGATTAGCTTTTGGGTCTTTGAAAAAGTAATATATGGCCAGTATTATTTTATTTGAGCTGATTTTCCCTCCTAAGTATTAACTCTCAGGGCTGGCAAGAGGTTGGGATATGAGTGCTACAATGGCACTGAGTTATATGGTTCCTAGATTTTGTTTCTAGACTTTCCAAACAAATATACACAGATAGGTAGCAGTTTTTCCTTTCCTTTCCTTTCTATAGGATGTTATTGCTTGGGCTCTGTGATCCAGAATGATGTATAACAGTGTAGCTACAGAGAAATAAATAAATTCTGTGAGCCACATATTAAGCCTATGTTCTGCCTGCAGTTTTTCCCTCTGCCCTTAGTAATTTTATTCCAAGTGGTCCCCCAAATATCGGTTGAATTTTAACAGTTTGGACCTGTTGGATTTAAATCCCATATGATATCATTCTGTTTGCTGAAGTGAAATTTTAATATTTAAAACATTTGGTTTATTGGAACTTATAAAACCCAACAGGTATTTACTGTGAACAGATTTTTTTGATGAGAAAATTTAAAGAACATGAAATCTGCATAGCAGATAATGAAACGAGAATGCACAGTTCAGGTTTTAAACAAGACTGGAAAACAGCCTTTTTAAAGAGGATTTGATAGCTCCTCATATTCTTGTATGTGGGTTTTTAGAGGATATTAATGTGCATTTCCTACAGGGGAGGGAAGTTAAATAGCACAGTCCTTTTACTGGAAATCCAATGAATATTTGTGAAACCAGTTACCTGAAAACAACCCAGTGATCATAAGTTTACCCTTATGTTTTTAATTTGTTTTTCTTTTCCTTTCCTTTTCTTTCTTTTTCTTTTTTTCTCCCCCCTGTATTTCCTGAACTGTCTAACCTGCTTCCTGGGTTTGAGGACATCTTGCCAAACTTGAGGCCAAAGTCCTAGCATTGAACAGTTCTTTATTTAGAGATCAGGACCTGGGAAAAGAAAAATCTTTTTCAGTTTTGAAATCATTCAGTATGTGTGTGTCTTCTGACTTGTGGAGGGAGAAATGATTGGTATAGTGTGGATCAATGGAAACTCGTATTTTGTAAGTAAAGCATACTTAATGAAAAAAATCCTAAGTATGAGTTTACAAAAAAGAATGATTTTATCTTAACCAATTTTATGGGGTTACTTGTGAGGCTTCCTAAACTGTACAGTCCTAGAAGATTCTGAGTATTTCAACTCTTACGTTAAAGAAAGAAATACAGTTGACAGCAGTTTTCTTCCTTCCTTCCTATGTCCCTGAGAAAAAATTCTTAGATCTAGAAAACAAAAAGCATTGCCATGCTCAAGTGACAATGTCTTCTGGATCCACCGTTATCCATCTGTCCTTTGTTTACTTTGGCTTACACTTTAGATTGCTTTCAGCGGCCATCAGTTCTCCTTCAGACTTTCATATCCCACTGAAGAATTCCAAGACAACTCAAGTTAAAACCCAAGTCTCCCCCTCCTCGTTCCCCTCCATAAAATGGTAACATATGAAAACAAAAAAGGAGGGGTGCCTGGGTAGCTCAGTCAGTTGAACGGCCGACTTTGGCTCAGGTCATGATCTCGTGGTCCGTGAGTTCAAGCCCCACGTCGGGCTCCGTGCTGACAGCTCGGAGCCTGGAACCTGTTTCGGATTCTGTGTCTCCCTCTCTCTGACCCTCCCCCGTTCATGCTCTGTCTCTCTCTGTCTCAAAAATAAATAAACGTTAAAAAAAATTTTTTTAAAAGAAAACAAAAAAGGAGCAATCACATTAAAAATGTATTCCTTAGATCTTAATTATTTAAATTCTTGATTTTAAAAGGTTGCCAAGTAGATATAATGAAATGTTAATTTCCAAAGTTGTATCTTGTACAGTATTTTTGTAGAATGTAGAACATCTCAGGAAAGGGGGAAACCATGAATCAGGGCTAATTATTGGTAACTTTTTAAAACATAGCTCTAATTTTATGCCAAAGCTTATCTCTCATAGAAAGTTAAGTAGTTCAGATTGGCTTACATTATTTGCTGCTTTTCTTAAAATAATTTCCCAAATTTGTGTACTTTTTAAGGAAAAAAAGTAGTTGCTCTTCTAACAAATTCTTTCTGGCTTGCAAAAGGTCAAGTGTGAACTTTGTAATTAAGGTGGCTTTCCCTCAGAGTTTACACACTTGGAATCAAAAGAAACCAAGCTCCTCATTCCACTTATCCCCTTGCCTTTCCATATGTCATTTGAGGTCTCCCTTTGTCATTAGCATGTAGGCCAGTTCCTGTGTCTGGCTGCATGTGACACAGCCAATGTAGTACAACGTTTGGCTACGATGCCCCTTTACTTAAATCTCATTCAGAAGTATATATAGTCACCAAAAGTCATGAAGGACTCTGTGGGGACACAGCTATGTATTATATACTACAATAAATGCATTGTAATAATTCTTTATAGTGGCTAGACATGAAGTAACTGCAGGCTCCAGCTGAAGTGGGGCAGGAAGCACAGAATCTAGGCCCCTGTCTTCATAGGAGAGACCCTCCTCTGCTTTTGGTCTGGATCTCTGTGCCTTCAGTAAAAGCTATTTTCCTTCCTCCCCTCCCCAACTCCCCTCCAGCCCCCAGAAAAACATAAACATTGACATTTATTTTGCATGAAATTTCAGAGAAGCCACTGATGCATTGCAAAAACCATTGCTTTGGAGGCTAGTTTAATTTTTTGGACAGCCAGTATTTGCCTTTCCAAGGACAGCAGGTTTCTGCTGGATTTTCCCTGACCGACATGATAGGATCTAACAAGTTGTTCTTTTCCATGAGTTCCACAGCTGGTGCTAGTGACCTTCTTCTGGGCACATGTGCCCCTTTTGGGTTACACAGGATCCTTTATCAATATTCCTGTGAAACCAATCCAAATCAAGGAAATCTAAGCATGCTAATAGAACACTGCCCTTCAGTCCCATTTATAAAGGCTTTTTGTGTCTTTGTCTTTAGAGACTATAAAAGTAGAGGGCTAGTGTGGTCTTAAAATAGTGTTCTTCAGGCTAAATATGGAGTTTAGTTTATCCTTGCAGTTTGGCATGAATCAAGCCACAAATCAAGCCCATTACTGATTTCGTTATCTAAGCTGGGGCCGTTTGTGGTGTGGGTTTCTTATTAACCAACTAGTTTTTTTCTTTTCAGTTTGGGACTAGAAAAAAGGATGACTTTTTCTACTTGTGAAAATGTATAGAAGTATCTTCCATTATCTGGATACTGATTCTCTGCTACCCTTTCCTCACCTTCTTCCCCTAATTTTCAGTCACTATCAGTAGAATTACACGTAAGAGTTTGCTTTATTCCCACTCTGTTCTTTGAACCATAGAGAAATACACCCTGTGAGGTCTATATTTCAGAAAAGTACGTAGGATTAGTAAATAGGCATTTAAGAGAGGGGCTGCTTTGAGGTATCAGGTCCTAGTTCAGACTGTCTGCATTATGACAGGGATCTCAGTGAACCACGGAATGGGGGGGGCATCCTTTCTTTGAAATGGGCATCAAGCCAGAGTTGCTACTTTTATAATCATTAGTCTATAAATCATCTAAACAAGGGGCTTATATTTATATTTGGAAAGTATCTGAGGCATTCTACAGTGCAGATTTTTGTCTTATTTTACTCTGTTTTCAACCATTGTTGTTTGATATAATCATGTAAAGATTCAAAATTTGGCAACTGTGGTCCTCATACTCTAGCATATAGTTTGGATCTAGTCCTAAAATAGAATTTTTGGACAGATTTCCAAACTGTGAATTAAAGACTTAGGCATTATAGGAATGCCTAGGTAGAGGGAGCTGAGTAGAGAGAGGTAATCCCCTGTGTGAACTTGAATTAATTTGTTGTTTTTATCTGTTTGTTCCTAAAGGTGAGCCCACCACTCCCCGGGCCATTTTGACAGGCCATGACTACGAGATCACTTGTGCTGCCGTTTGCGCTGAGCTAGGACTCGTGTTAAGTGGTTCCAAAGGTAAATCTGTGGCACCTTCATAAAGTCACGTGCGTTTTCTGGTGTCTTCTGGTAACGAATCGCCCAAGATGGATTTGGTACTTTTTTCTCTGAGCCATGGTGCCCGTTATAGTAGCCATTAGCCACATAGGACTGTTTGACTAAAATGTGTAAGTTAACTACATAAAGTTTAAAATTCAGTTTCTTGGTGGTATAAGCCACTTCTCAGGTGTTCACTATTCACGTATGACCAGTGGCTACTGTACTGAACAGCATAAATACAGAACATTGACGTCATTGCAGAAAATTGTATTTCACAGAAGTTCTTTGAAGAGGGAGGCAGGAACAAGGAACATCTTTGTCTATTTATTCTTCTGGACTCTGGGCTGGGTTTCATCTCACACATCAAGAGTTTTCATAGAAACTCTTGACCTAGTCTGTTTTAACTTCCAAATCTTAGAACTAGGCAGGAGCCAGGATGACATTGAGAATGGAGTGGAAAAGATACTTAAGTTGGTCTGCTTAGAGGTCTGCCCTTGCAGCATCATCATGTATTTAGGCCATAGATAGTAAGCGAGCCTTCAGAGAGCACACACAACAAATCAGGATCTGACCAGAAACCGAGTTGTTTCTAATTCATTGCTTATTCCATCTCTGAGGTTTATCTATCTCTGAGGATATGGACCTGAGCTGAGGTCTGAACACACAAAAAAGTACCGTAATCTTATGTCTTTGAAGGTTATCTGATGGGGATGCATTGAGCATTTGACTCACCTTATCTGCATCTCAAACTATAATACTTAGTCTAGCTAACAAGACTTATTAAATATTCAAAGGGTTGTATTTAAAAATTTAGTTGGTCAAAGCAATGAAATAATGATGGCAAGAATTTGATGCCTACTGGAGTTTTTCCTTTCTTATGCCCAGTAATTTCATATATCCTGAGCAAACAAGTTCTTAGACACTACATGATCCAAATTAGACATAGGGGTGACTGGCTGGCTCAGTCTGTAGAAATGTGACTCTTGATCTTGGGGTTCTGAGTTTGAACCCCACATTGGGTATTGAGATTACTTAAAAATAAAATCTTCAAACAAAATTAGACATATAAAATAAACCTATCATATTAAAGGTTATCCTTGCTTTGCATGGTAGTGCAGAGTCATAAAAATGACCATGCAGGCTGAAACCATGAAAAGTGATCATAAGAGCCAATGGCAAAATTTGTGGTTGTTCCATGGCTTTTAAAAATTTTTTGTCACAATATTAAAAATTCTCATATACAGTTATATGTGTATATATAGGCATGAGAAAAACAGTAAAACTCAGTACACTATAATTTAAAACATTAGAAACATTGAAAATTAAAGTATTTTCTTTTTGAAAAACTTAAAAAGAGTACTTGCATAGTGTTTGCCTCTTTCTCTTTGTATAATATAACTTAAGATAACAAGCAAGAATCTTGTCTTTGCCTCGACCAGTTGTCATGCTCCTTTCTAAGTTTGGGTAACTTTCCAACGTTTTATCTTCTGTGCATTCAACGTCATGAAACATCCCCTCGGGTTCCTTTATTTTTTTTAATGTTTGTTTATATATTTTGAATGGGGGAAGGGCAGAGAAAGAGGGAGAGAGAGAATCCCAAGCAGGCTCCACAGTGTGCAGAACCTGACACGGGCTCTATCTCACAAACCATGAGATCATGACCTGAGCCGAAACCAAGTGTCAGATGCTCAAATGCTCAAATGACTGGGCCCCCCAGGCACCCCCCCCCCCAACTTACACTGCCCCCGGCTAGGGTTCCTTTAAAGTTTTTGGACGTTTTTGCTGGCATCACTTCTGGGACATCACTTTTCTTACAACCCCTTTTCTAATCTATGTCAATAAGTTCTTCTTCACTAATTTCCTCAGCAGTGTCAACATTTCCAGAATCCGTTCTTTCTTCTGTAACCCTATTTATATTCAGTATAAAGTTCACGCTCAGGTTTATCACTTTTAATTTCCTTCGTGCAGTTTCACCTTTGTGGCCAGTGTTCTCTTTTGATTATCCACTTTTGTAAAATGTCACATGGGTTTATCACCGGAGATGAGGAAGCAGCACAACCACAACCACAGTTTGCTCCCTGTGCACGAATGGGTAACAGACGTGCAGTGACCACTCACTGACAGACTTTAAAGGAAATGATGTGCTTGGTCATTCAGGACGCACATCTGTTATTTACATAGTGATTTGTGGACTGAAGAGCTGGTCACAGACGTGAACTTTATGCCATCACTGTGAAAACTGAAGTTTGAACTGTGGTGCTGAGGGACTGGTGTCATTTAGAATGATAATGGACATTCACGAGTGCTGCCGCTGTGTGAAGCAGAGGCTGCTGGTATGTATTTATGCTGAGAACACAGACAACTTACAAACTCCTGAGTGGTCAAGAGAAAGCCAAGAACCTTATTTTCAAAAGGCCATGCCCTTAGTAGTCCTGTGGGAAACAGAGATCACAAGTCCCCATAGGCATGAGTAACTTAGCCTGGAGATCAGCAGGCCTTATGCTCATTACTCCTCTTGTCTGACTCACATCTCTTAGAACATACTCATCACACAGGTGGTTTCAGTTACCTGCTCCTTCTTAGCTTTGCAGGTAACAGGCGCTCAATAAAAATACACTCTGAGATGTATGCACTCACCTGCAGCTCCCGTCCTCCTCAGGCAGCTCAGCCTGGAGGTCAGCCTGGGGGTTGGGAGTGGTTGGTGCCACCCACAGTGGGGGCAGCAGGCAAGTGCACTTGGTTGCAGAAGGATCTCCGTGTGAATTTATGTGTGTGGGTGGCAGGGGGTGGGGAAGCGGAGGATGGGTAAGTGGACCACCAGGGACGTTCTTTCATTGTGAAGTAGCAAGCAGTGGGAAGGCAGAAGGCTGAAGCCTCCGGAAGCTGCCCTAATGAGCTCTCCCCACACTAGCCCACAGCGCGGCCACTGCTGCTGGGGCCCCTGTGACACACAGGCAAAGCATCACAGTGAGCTCGACGGCAGCCTGTGTTTAATTGTGGCCCAGCCTTCCCGGAAGCTCCTCGAGGAATTGAAATTTGTCCTGTTCCTTTCTGAATGCCTCCTGTTTTTATCATCTCTTAGCATAAATCATTTCATAAAGTAACTTCCTGTCGCTTGAGGAAAAGTGAACTTGAATGTGTATGAGTTGGCTTTCTCCTCTCCCAAGTAGGAGGTGAGATCTGGCCAGCACGCAGAGGACATTTTGCGAAATAACATACGTAAGATAAATAATTTTTAAAGGCTTGCTACAAGCAGCCTTTTGATCCTGTTTGTGCTCAAGATTCATTTTCACATTTGTCATCCTTAAAAAAATTTTGCCTGTTGTTTCTCCTCTTTTCTCAGAAGGACCATGTCTCATACATTCCATGAATGGAGACTTGTTAAGGACTTTGGAGGGTCCTGAAAACTGCCTGAAACCAAAACTCATTCAGGCTTCAAGAGAGGGTCATTGTGTCATATTCTATGAAAATGGCTGCTTCTGTACATTCAGTGTGAATGGGAAACTCCAGGCCACTATGGAAACAGACGATAACATAAGGGTGAGTATGCTACGGACTTTGTCACCATTGTAGATTTTGACCTCCCAAGTGTGGCAGGTGAGGAGGGAGAGGGTTCGCTAGAGAGACCTCTGTTTTAGTCACCGAAGGCCTCTTTCCACACCAAAAGAAAATCATCAGGTAGCACGTGCATGAGGCTTATGTATCTCACAGACCACAGCATGTCCTGCTGTGCTGATCGCATCGCTCAGAGAGCCCTGTGCAAGAGATCCCTCTGTGAAGCCCAAGGCGAGCCTTCAGCAGAGAGTTTTCTTACGGTTCTGTGAAGCCAACCTGGGTGGCTTTCCGTGGCCTTGTTTAGCTTTTTTTAGTCTAAGAAAGTTAACTGTACATGGTTGTTGTTTGAGCATCAAGACTGCAGTGGTCCGGTAGACCACACCTAAAACTGGCTCCTCTTCACACCTGGATAGGCTGCCGGCGGGAGTGGTAGGGGATTATGACTATTAGGATTAGTATCTCCTTTCAGACTTTGTGAATAACAAGACCAGCACTTGCCAAGTTAAGGGAGTTGGCTTCCAATTAGGATGTGAGTTAGGCAGACATTTTTCCCCTTTGGATACACAAGGAAGGGTAATGTTAGTGGACCTTCTGGAGTCTTGCTTCATTTTCAGGACACGATTCCAAAAGTATTAGAGGTGGAAGGAAACACTGAGGACTGCTCTTTGGAGAGGCTATTTTTTCAAGGTTCTTCTTTTCTCACTCCCAACCTGCTAGTGCAGGTTAAAATAAAGTGAAGCTGAGGTATTCCTGTCATTTTCCGAGATGAGGCTGGAGGTATGTGTGACCTTGTACAGTGAGGGAACCTCAGACATGTTGGGAATGCCTCTGCCCCTGAGTGTGGCTTTTTAGGCTGGCTCTGGACATTTTATTCGTTGCTCCTCCTGACCCGGGGCAGCTTAGATGACATAAATTCTCCCAGTTTCCCACATCTAGCCTGATCACCCCCTTCTCAAGTAAACAGATATGGGATCAGGAAGTATTAAGAAACAACAACCCTAACTATAGATTACGTAGATGAAATGAAGGTCACTTGCTGCTTCGATATCATAGCACTGAATTTTAATTCAGTCAATGTCCTCTCCTTTTCTCTGAGTTTTCTTCATTGTATTTTGACTGCCTCTACCACAAAAGCATGCACTCATACTCAGCTTTTATTTTTCCCTACTTTCCCATAATACTTCATTTAAACCAAGTACACATCAGAGGATTTTCCTTTCCTCTTTTCTTTACAATAATAATGTTGATAATCTGTCACTTTGAGTTACGATTATACTGTCAGCTACACTAATAAATCTGTAAAATAATTTGAAATCCCTTGCTAGCTAAAACAATATCTGTGGCATTTCAGTTAGTACGAAAGGCTCTGGGAAGTTCCTCGAGGCAGTAGGAAGGAGGCTTTCTGCAGACTGTTCATACACACATGCTTTTTCCTCTCTGCCCTGTAGCTATTGTTGTTTTTTCCCCTGTAATATTTCCCACTGGATTTTAGGCTTAAACAATCCGTTGCCTTTTTCCCAGCACTCCTGCACTTTATCATACTAACTTGGAAGTGGCAACTGTGTGATTAAAACAAGCTTGCCTAAAATGGGCACTACCTGCCCATGGCTCCAGAGACTGACACTTTCACAGCTAACTGCGTTGGGGAGGGAAGGAGGGAGAGAGGGAAAGAGTAAGAGACATCACAGAGCAAAAATCTCCAGCTCCATCCTGTAGGCCCTGCAGTCTGAGCCTGTATCAGGAAAGGAGACCATGGAAACAAATTAGTCTTCAGCTCAGACCAGAAATTAAGTTTCTTTGAAATACTGAGAACCCTGCAGGCAGGCAGCCTGGGGAACCTCTGCACTAATCAAGGCTTCCCACCTGTTTTTATTTAGATGCCAGATTGTTCAGTGGCATTTGGTTAACATATCATAGCACATCAACTAGGCAGTGTTTAGATGTCTTAATGAGTAACTTAAATGAAGTGGGCAGCTTTTACAGAGCAGCAAAGTTATTTTACCCTAAACAAAGGACAGCCACCATTTCACCCACAGGAACTCATCTATTTTTTTTTTCTGTGGAAGCTGTGTTTTAGGATGTGATCATGCCCAGCAGACCACTCTGGCTGTAGAAACCAGTTCAGCCGTGGCATTGTCCAAGGCACTCTGGATTGCAGAGGAGGATCTAAGCATGTCTCTGGGGCCCTCTTAAACTTGTTAGGCTCAACCCGGCCTGGGTACTGAGGGAGGCGTGTTAGAGTTAAGAACTATGTGAGGGCTGCTTTGAGTAGAAGACAGAGTGCCATTTAGTGAATGTTACCCTGACTCTTGCCCTTAGGGGAACTTGACAGGTTCCTCATGAGAAAGGCCAGCAGAATACTTTTTCACATTGGCAGGCCCCAGGCTCATTAAAATGTTTTGGATGCTGATAAATGTATAATCCTAAAAATCCAGGCTTTAAATTCCAGATAGACTAGGATTAGAGATTCTTTACTAGTACAAAGAGTTAAAGATTAATAGTTTTAATTTGTATTTTAATATAGCACTTATCCAGCAAAAAGCCTCAAGTATAAAACTCAAATGAACCACAACCATAAGGCTAATGGATTTTCATCAGCTGAATTTTAGAAGTAGAGCAAATAATTGTTTGTCCTAGTTTTTACTGCAGCTCCCGGATACCCCCTAGAGATCGCTATTTGTAAAGTGAATGGGGGGAAAGGATATTGATTTTTACTTACATTGAAAAATCTTACTATTTGTATTAAGATTTAGAGAATATTTCTTACATGTAACTGTCTTCCACACGTGGGTTTTTATTTCTTAGATGTATTTTTGTATTCTTGAGAAGAAGCTACATTTAAGAGACCAGTAGAAGTTGGCATTTGCATAAATATGAATTGAATGCCTATGAAACGGCCCTTACTTTTCTATGATTTTTTAAAAAATTTGTCAAAGGGTAGGTTAAAGACTTAAGGCAACTATACTAAAACTGAGTGTAGGACAGTGTAGATATGTTTTCAGGAGTTAGATTTTTTTTCCTTTTTGGCTTGTTTGCACCATCTGTATTCCCACTTCACTCTCCAGGTAGACACAGGATTACAGGTGTTTACACTTTTTCTGTAAAGGGATAAGTAATAAATACTTTAGGCTTTGCAGGCTCTATATTCTGTTAGTCACTTGCAAAAGTAGCCATAAACAAATGGGCGTGGTTATGTTCCAGTAACCCTTGTTTATGGGTACTGAAATTTGGAATTCATGTAATTTTCACATCATGGAATATCCTGTTGATTTTTCTTCAACCATTAAAAATGTAAAACGTCCTGAGAAACTTAACAGGAACCCATGGGGGAGGGGAAGGAAAAAAAAAAAAGAAAAAAAAGGTTAGAGTGGGAGAGAGCCAAAGCATAAGAGACTGTTGAGAACTGAGAACAAACTAAGGGTTGATGGGGGGTGGGAGGGAGGAGAGGGAGGGTGGGTACTGATGGGCCGAGGAGGCACCTTTTGGGATGAGCACTGGGTGTTGTATGGAAACCAATTTGACAATAAATTTCATATATAAAAAAAAAAAATGTAAAACGTCCTATAAAAACAAGCAGTGGTCCACATTTGGCCCAATTTACGGGATCGAAGAGCAAATTCCATGTGTGTACTTCCTGTTCAGTACTGGCAGGAAGCAGTCAGTCCTGAGGCAAGAAGAAAATGCTTCACCTGGGGTTTAATCACCCTGGAAGCTGTAGTTCTCTACCAACCTGTCTTCCTAACCTGCTATAAAAATCCAGCAGGCCCAGTGAAGGTACTACAACTGTTGGCCTTCTCCCGTGGGGCTGTAGCCCCAAAGGCAGCAGTGTTTTATTGGCGATATCAGGTCAGCTAGCACTGTCTGCATAGCCTTGGTACAAAATAGGCTTCTTAGCATGTCCACAGTACAAGTGGAGAGGTGCCATGAGGCTCCTCATTTTAGAGCACTGATTCTAGTCCACCACATACACCATCTAAATACTATTCACAGAACTGGAGGATTTTGCCACCTCATCTTTAAAAATCAAAAATTAAAAACACAAAAACAAAACATCTTTGTTTTGCCTAACTTTGTCCTAACTTTGTCCATTTGACTTTTGAAAAATGGCAGTAGTTTTCTGTAACTCATGATTTCCTAAAAACTCCTTAGGAACACATGCATACAATCTCTCCCTGCATTGCAGTGGCTTCGTGGTGTGGAAATTAAACGGGGTGGGAGGCGGAGTTCTCCTAGGACCACATCTCCACTGAATATTGCTGTGTCTCATAGGCCATCCAGCTGAGCCGAGACGGGCAGTACCTGCTCACAGGAGGAGACAATGGTGTGGTCATGGTCTGGCAGGTGTCTGACCTCAAGCACCTCTTCGCCTATCCGGGCTGTGACGCTGGAATCCGGGCCATGGCCCTGTCTTACGACCAGAGGTAACACTGAAATCATGGTCTACTGATGGTGATATTAAAAATTGGAGGGAATTTATTTAAATGGTCTGATGGATAGACTGGGTTATCGGGGTCACCATGGGTTGTGGGGGTCACCTGGGCAATCAAAAAATCCAGTAAATATTGGGGTTTCCAAGATACTTTTTAAAAAGCGTGATGTTTCTTTTTGATGGCATTGCCACTCTTAGACAAAGGCTGAATTCTCTAGTAATAGATAGGATTTAAGTAACAAAGGCTGTAATTATGTTGCCATAAAGCTTTTTATATTTCTTAGAGTACTTTTTCTTTAAAATAAAAACTAAAAACCGTAAACATGTAGAATATAAAAGGCCTGTATGTCCATGAGGATTTTGTGGAGAGATTTGCCTTATTTCCTAAAACCTTCTAAGTGGTAAATTTGGGGAATGTAATCTTTGTCATCTTGCTGCTTCTACACTCATTTAAGTTCTGATTTTTTTTATAGAGGTAACATATACATAAAATTTACCATCATTTTTTTTGTGTACAATTCAGTGGCATTAAGTACATTCACACTGTTGTACAACTATGGCCACTGCCCATTTCCAGAAGTTTTTCATCATCCCAAACAGAAGCTCTGTCCCATTAAACACTAACTTCCCATTTTCCCTTCCAGAGCTCCAGCTCAATTCCAGTGTCTGTCAATTTGCTTCTTCTAGGTACTCTGTGTAAGGGGAATCATACAGTATTTGTCCTGTTGTAGCATGTTTCAGAACCTCATTCTTTTTTAAGGCTGAATAGTATATGCCACTTTGTTTATGCATTCATCTGACATTTTGGGTGTTTTCACCTTTTGGCTAATGTGAATAATGTTGTGATGAATATTTGCATACAAATATCTGTTCAGATCCTTGTTTTCACTTCTCTGGGGTGGATACCCAGGAGTGGAATGGTTGAGTCACATAGTAATTCTATGTTTAACTTTGTGACAAACTGCCAAACTCTTCTCTACAGTGGCTGTACCATTTTACATTCCCACCAGCCACACACAAGGGTTCCAGTTTTTCCACATCTTCACCAACACAGGTTATATTTTGGTTGTGGATTTTTTAATAATAGCCATCCTAATAGGTGTGAAGTAGTCTCTTATTGTGGTTTTGATTTGCATTTCCCTAATGACTAGTGGTGTTGACTCTGCACTCTTAATAATGTCCTTTGATGTACAAGTTTTTAATTTTCAACTTTTTTTCCTGTTGTGAATGCTTTAGCAGTATCCAAGAAATTATTGCAAAATCCAATGTTATGAAGCTTTTCCTCTGTTTTATAGTTTTAACACTTATGTTTATTTAGCTTTTGATCCAGTTTGAATATCTGTATGACAGTAGATAAGGATCCAGTTTCATTCTTTTGCATGTGGGTATCAAGTTTTCCCAAAACCATTTGTTGAAAAGACTGTCCTTTCTCCCACTGGATTGTCTTGACTACCCTGTTAAAAATCAGTTGACCATACATGTCAGAGTTGATTTGTGGGTTCTTCATTCTAGTTGTCTATATGTCAGTATCAGACTGTTTTGGTTACTGTAGCTTTGTGGGAAGTTTTGAAAATCATGAAATATAAAACATCTGATTTTGTTCTTTTTTTCAAGAATGTTTTTTGGCTATTTTGGGGTTCCTTGAGAATCCATTATGAATTTTGCAAAAAAAAAAATGGATTTTGATAGGGATTGGGTTGACTCTCTTGATTGCTTAGGCTAGCATTATCACTTTAATAATATTAAATCTTCCAGTCCATTAACACAGATGTCTTTACATTTATATTCCTTTCAGCGATATTTTGTGGTTTATAGTGTACAAGTCTTTTGCCTCCTGCATTAATTTACTCTTGAATATTTTATTCAGTTTTGTTGCTATTGTAAATAGAATTAATATCCTTTTCAGATTTTTCATTGTTCATGTACAGAAATGCAACTTATTTTTATGTGTTGATTTTATATCTTGCAACTTTGTTGCATTTGTTAACTTTTTGTGGAATCCTTAGGATTTCCTAAATATAAGATCTTGTCATCTGTAATAGAAATAATTTTACTTCTTCCTTTCCAATTTAGATGCTTTTTATTTCTTTGCCTTGCCTAATTGGTCTGGCTGGTACTTCCAGTACCATATTGAACCGGTAAAAGTGATTAGCTGTGTCTTGTTTTTGATCACAAAAGATTTGAGTCTTCACCATGAAGTATGATGTTAGCTGTGAGTTTTTCATAAATGTCCTTTATTGTGTTTGTCCTTTCCTTTTTTTTCCTAGTTTTTTTTTTTTTTT